CTCCCCTCCCCTTCCCTTCCCTTCATCGAGCATGCTCCTTCTCTTCATTTCTCACTTTGCTTTCCCCTGCGTTATGGAGAGCGCCCCTCGAGTTTGTAGAGTCTACCTCCAGAACTGATTTTAATTTGAAGATTTCACATTAATTTTCTTTTGAGTCTTCCTATTTCTCCTATCGTTGGTTCCTCTATTTTTTATCCCAATGCTTACTCGTGCTTTATTGCCTCCTGCTTCTATTTAATAAAGACTGCATTTTCTTACATCTTACTGAAGCTGAAAATCTGCTTTCAAATCTTCTTTTTTGGTGTGGATCATATAGTATGTAGTGCTCAGAAAGCTGCTCTTTGTCTGAATCTTCAGCATGTTATTCCTTTCATTGTTCTTCGGGGTTGTCCCCCAAGTTCTGCTTGAAAGCTGCAAGGATAAGAGGCCTGCCCTGGGCTAATTCCCCTTCTTGGAGCCTTAGCCAGATGCTAAGAAATGAGCATGTCCTCCGGGTCCGGGGGTCTGCCAGGTTTCATGCAGTGCAGCGCATGGTACTGAGATCAAGTCTCTTCCTAACCCCACGCCCAATCCTCTTACATTCTGAACACATGAAACAAACAGTTTGAACCGCTGCAGAGGGCTCTTTCTACCTCTCTCAGTAACTGTGTGTTTACATTTGGGGAGTCTTCCCCTCGCCCTGCTTTTTATCACTCCTTTTACCTCCCCCAACACACATAATTCCCACTCTTTTTTAGAATTTATGGGCTCAGCCCAGATGGGATCTCACCTCTGAACCACACAATTCTCTCGTATCCTGGCATATTTTCCCCTTAAATGCTTTTTCTTCTTGCCCTCGTTGGTCAGTATTTGTGAAGAAAGCTTCTGTTTCTCTCAACAAATTATATAATTAGGTATTGCCAATAAGAATCGGAAAGCTTGATTTTCCCTGTACCAACCTCTATATCAGGAATTCCTCCCTCCCCCACGCTCTCCTGCTGGCTCTGCTTCTGTACATGGGTCTGTGAAGATAGATCGATACTAACTCTATTTCTTCTCAAGATTTGTGATCATGACATTTGTCCCCTGTTTACTTAACGTTGTATAAGTTCATTTGTTTACTTCAATAAAGGTACCGAAAAGTGTGATATTAGATAAACCTTTATTTCTCACAGAAATTTCATTAAACTATAGTTCTGAGGTGAAGAAATGCTCAGTAATTTCAATCCATGTCCAATTTTCACAGGCTCTATTAAACATCAGTGGTCGATATATTTTGCATATAGAATCAAAAGAAATAAAATAACCTAAAGCATAGAAAACAATTGTCAGTTTAATTACAGGGATTCAGGTGTTTGAAATAAATCCTATTATATAGTAACACATTAATCTAACTCATATAATTGGGGTAAAGGAACTACTGAAGTATGACTGGAACTTTCCAAGAAAAATTAAGGTTATTTGACACCCACCCCCAAGTACACTGGCCTTGTTTTTCTTGCAGAATGAACACTAGAGCAACCATGATAGTAAAGTCTCATTTTCTGCTTCTAATAAGAGAAGGAAGAGACCTGTTATGGAGGTGTTCTCTATGTAAGATCTACCACTTCTTAGTCAGTGAAACTTGGTTTGTTCTAACCCCCCTTCCCCTGCCTTTAATTGCTCTATCTTCCTACCCATCAAGAAGGCTGTAGTAAAAAGTCAAAGTGAGAAGCTGACTTTTGGGCATTAATGAGGAGACTGTTGCTGTGAAAATTCTTATGGCAGCAGAAACAAAGGGTCTAATATTCTACAGTTGGGGATGTTAGAGGTGACTAAGCACTGACTTATTCCTAGATACCTAGAAGTATGTTTTTTGTGGGTTTTTTTTCATGTTAAGGACCTGCCAAATGCATACATGTAAGTGTATAGGTTCACATAAAGATGCAAAAGAATAGTGAAGTTGTGTATGAGGGATACCTTCTCTTTGAATTTAGAAGTAACTCAGCAGGGGTGTAAATATTCTTAGGGGTTGATATGGCTAGTGCTATGAGTTTCCACTACTGACCGTTTACTTCTACCAGGTTAGCTCTGTGACCTTGTATGAGTCATATAACCTCTCTGGTCTTTACTTTTCTTGTTCTTAAAGTGGCAGTAAGAGCATCTACTTCATAGGATCCTTGTAAAGTGCCTAAAGCAATGCCTGGCAAACACTAAGTACAATTATTGTTGTTATGGTTATTATTTGTGCTTTTATTTGTTCTTAGGAGAAGATGGGGCATAATGGATGTGCAGACTTCTTAATAGTCACACTGACCTTGGGAGTGCTAATTCTTATCAAAGCACCAGGTGACAAATAGATACTAAATGAGAGTAAATAGCTGTTTCTTCATGCTTGAGGCACATGATTCAGTTGGCTATGAACAAAATGTTCCTACTTTTGTGGATTTTATTAATGTTTCCTTTTGATGGATTGCTCCTTTTCTGGCTATTAAGGATGAGACTGTAGTGCGAGTTCCTGGAAAATGCTGCCCCCGGTGCTCTCCCCAGCCCTGCTCCGCTGCTGGCCGAGTATACCAGGTAACCTTGGACGTACCCCACGCAGGTGTTTCGATGCACGTTTTCACACATCTGCCCTCCGCTCCTCCAGCCACTGTACCCCCTGCCCTCATGCCTGACTCTTTGCCAGGATTAGTAACTCAGTACATAAACGGCTTTTTTCTTCCTACATGGAAAGCCTTTATGAAAAAATTAAACTGGAGGGGATTAGAAATATAAAGGAATGTGCTGAAACGGAGCCTCCGGTTCACAAACCTTGGTGAAAGTACCGTTCATACACCTTGAAGGGAAAAAGGGACGATCATTGGTTACTATCGGTTTACAGTTAGGTTGGAGGCTCTGGGAATGTTTGTCCGCTTTGGCTTGGTTTTATGTACTTACATTTAGAGATCATGTCGCCTTGTCTTACACTGAGGGGAGGGCATGGGGGTAGTAGGTGAGCGGGAAGGGAGGCAGGGTGCTGGTGGTAGTGGACTCTGCAAACCTCGAAGTATTATTGGGGCAGTCTGGATAACTGCCTGATAGATAGTAGGCACCAAGTAAAAACCAGCTCAACAAAGAGAATAAATCAGTGAATATTCTGTCTTGGGAGTGCCCAGCTGATCCAAAAGAAGGTTACATTATTCAAGAGCACAGAGCATATTAAGAATGAACCCAACTACTTCTCTTGCTTGTCAACCACTCTAAGGAAGACTAAGTAGAAATTGGGATTGGGATTCTCTGTGGAGAATCTGGAACGGAGTATTAGGGGGTGGTGTCACAAGTTATAGATGGATAGCATGAAATCTGAATGAAACTAACTGGGAAAGATTTTTGTATGTACTAGATCCATGCTGTCGAATCCAGTAGTCACATATGTGCTAGATTAACTTCTCATGAGAGATATAGCCTCTGTGTCTGTTCTGATGTTTTTGGATGCAAGGAACAGAAATGCTCCTCTAAAAGTAGCTAAAATGAAAACACTTATTGTCTCATGTCACAGGAAGTACAGAGGCAGGGCAGTTGTAGGGTCGCTTAATTCGGGTCTCGGTGATATCATGGAGGATCTAAGCTCTTTTGATCTTTCCACCCTGCCATGCTCAGCATTTGCCTCTGTCCTCCAGTCCCCATGATGGCCTCCTCAGCTCCAGGCAGCTTATCCTCACACAACTATTACTAAATGCTGGTGGAAGAAGGGAGTGGGCTTTTCTTCACAGGGAGGAGTCTTTTCCTTGACCTCTGCCTCTCTAGTAAACCTCCCCTCAATCCGCTCTGTTAGGATTGGGACAGTGCTGTGCCCTGCTGCAGGGGAAGCTGGGAAAATAAATATGTGGCAGAGAGAGCTGGGTCACCTGGCCAAGAAGAACTAAAGAATGACCAGTGCTTAGCCCACAAACAGGGCCTTCCCATTCATCCTCTGTGCCCGGCATAGGGCAGCCCTTAGCACACCTGTGCGATGAAGGGAATGGAACGACTTCCCTTTGGACATTTATAAACTTTGTTCTGAGAAGCTGTTGCTACCTAAATGATACCATTTTTCAAGAGTACATTCAGTGTGGCTTAATTAAAAATTGTAATAAAAAAGCATGCGTCTTACGTGCCTGTGTTTCTGTTGATATGAGACACTTGATTTCCCACTTTCTTCTTTCCCTCATTTATTCAGCATGGTGAACAGTGGAGTGAAAACGCCTGCACCACGTGTACATGTGACCGGGGCGAGGTCCGGTGCCACACGCAAGCCTGCCCCCCTCTAAGATGTGAAAAGGTACTGAGTGTGTAGCTTGATTTTCAAAGTTTTATTCCGGGTCACTTCAGAAATTCATTTCTTAGAGCAGTGTGTTCTTTAAGGAAATCAAAAGCTTTATACTGTTTAGTGTATTAGATAAAGATGTGAAAGGTCTGCTTCCAGGAAGGAGGGCTGCGGGGAGGGACTCGCCTGGCTGGTTGGGTGGGAAGGGGGCAGAGTATGGTGGTGCTTTGTGCCCTCCTGCCCCACTGGCTCGGGTGTGTCCCTGCTCTCCTGAGCCACCCTTCACCCGCCCTTCTCTCTGTCTCCCCAGGGTCAGAGAAGGGCCCAGCGCCCCGGGGAGTGCTGTGAGGAGTGCGTGTCTCCTGCTCGAAGCTGCTCACACGGCGGGATTGTGCGGCACCAGGCCGAGGTGTGGAAGGGCGCGGCCTGTGAGTTCTGCCTGTGCGACCGCGGCCGAGTGACCTGCCACCCCGGAGAGTGTGCCAAGGTGGAGTGCGCCCAGGTAAGAAGCAGGGCATCTCCCCTGGGACTGGATAGCGCTCTCCGAGGGGACAGAGGCCCTCCCTGCTCCTTGCTTCCTGGCAGCAGAGGGACCCGCCAGGGGGACGCTCAGGTTTCAAGGAGCCTTCTAGCACAGAGACTGTGGGGTAGAGTAGATGTCACCCTTTGTTCAGACCCTCGGAACAGGCCCCTGGAGCTTTTGGCTCTCGGTGCATCTGGTCAGATTGGAAGCCCTGAGACAGACACACGAAGGGGAAGGACACGCTGTGGGACGGGAGCCTGTGGCCGGTGCAGCTGGGCCTCGTCGCCGGCCGCCTGCCCAGCTGGCCCTGCTTGTGACACAGGCGGCAGCTGCTCCGGCCCACTGGCAGCATTTAAGCAGAAGGGACACCAGCACCAGGGCTGCTCCTGTGGCTCAGGAAAGGGAATAAAATGGGTTTTTGTTTTTGTTTTAAATGGGAGAGGCTCATAAGTAATTAACCCCATTGACCTCTTTTGACTTCTGCTGTCTGCTGAATTTCTAGAAGCATCTCACAAAGTAGCCTCTGTTTGCACTACAGTATATCGTAGGGAAGTCGCTTTTTCCCCCCTCTTTGAACTCAGTTTTTGCCCACTGCAAAACAAATTGCTTTTACAGTTGTCTCTCCTCCCCCCCCATCCGCCCCACCAGTCTCCCTCAGGGTTGTGAGCGTGAGGAGAAGAGGGGCACTGGGGAGATCTGAGGCACTGGGTGTCTCTGAAGCCATTTTTCTTTCTAGTCCTTCCTCCCCGCGTCTCAGCTCCTCCCAACACTGAGCCGGAGGAGGCGCAACCTCTCAAACCAGGCTGTCAGTGACAGGGTTGTTTTTCATTTTGACTCCTACTTCTGAGTCCTGGCAGAGCTGAGACATGGTTAAGTAAAAAGGGTCTTGCTTCTTGCAGATTTATTTCCCCCCACACGCCTTTTCATTTCTTTACTTTGATTATGTCAGGGGAGTCAGAATGGTTGGATGGAGATGAGAAAAACCCTAATCAGGGCCCCTTTCTCTGGCTGAGGCTGGGCTTCCTAGCCTCGGCAGTCTGCCCAGAGGATGCTGGGTTGTTTCCCAAGGTTTTAATTTGTCTCAGATCTTGGGGTTTGTGGAAAATTTGGAAGAGATGATCATGGTAGGGTGAGTCCTTCAGCCACCTCTTTTGTTGGGTCTGAACAAAGAGTCACATTAAAGAAAATAATCTGATCTGCTACTCCCAATGTCAGTGACTTTCCAGGTGTTTTCCTGTGCCTTGTGACACCTACCTGTGGCAGCGTAAGCCAGGTCTTCTCTGTTCTTAGGGAAAATGGGGAGCAGCTGCTGATGTAAGTGGAAAGGGCCTCAATGTTCCTCAAGACACCCTGTAGCCCAACCTCATCTCTTTCTACTTCCATATCCCACCCCCACCTCATTTTCTCTTTTATGAATTGAGGAGTTTTAATGCCTTTAGCTTATTTCTTCAGATTTTTAATCAACTAAATTATTTTCTTTCAGAATTCATCCATGCTCCTAAATTTCATTTAAGGCACTGGGTTCTAAATTAGAAACACTATCAGAAGTGAAATTTTAACCAAAATTGAATCTTATAAAGAATATCCCTTAGCCTTCTTTCTGTGCCATACTTATGTGATTAATGGCCTTGGTTAATGACCTTGGGTAAGCCTGGGCACACTAACCTTGCTAGTATGGTTAGTGACCTTGGAAAAGCCTCGGCGTGCTAAGTTCCCAACTTCTTTTTACTTGGAGATACAAATGTGAACAAGACACATTTTGATCTAAGAGTTCCCAACCTTTGGGGAAGTCAGATACATAGACAGAAATTATAATATGTGGCGGCACCAACAATTATGGAAGTATGAATTAAATGCATTAGGATCACCTGAAGAAAATGCCTATGTCTGGCAAGGCAGTGAAAATACATTACTGGTATTTTTCAGTTTTCCCCTATTTGCTGCCTTTTCTAGAATATCAAGGTCATTAGATTTCTAAACTTGGATACCAAGGGTGGATTAAGTCTAAGTGTTTGCACATCCACAAAGGTACATAGGAGTAAACACCTAGATGAGGAGGCAAATTGTGCAGCTTCACAGTTGTAGTAATTATCACATTGGTTATCAACAGCAATATTCTGAAGAACATTGAAATTAGCACACAACTTTTGTTTAAAAAGGTGCACATGGTATGACTCTTGTCTTTGACAAATCAAAACCCTAGACATTGGAACATAAATAAATCAACAGTAACATAGCACAATATGATGATTTTCATTTTTTGTATTTTGTGTTTTCTTTGAAGATGAATTCAGATGAAGTCAAATTATCTTTTCTTTTTTAAAGGACCTAGCATTTATAAAGGGTGGGGCAAAAGTAGGCTTATAGTTGTTCATGTGGAAAATAATACAATAATTAATAAATAATAATACAAGAATAAATAAACTCTGTTTCATGCACTCACAACTATAAACCTGCTTTTGCCCCACCCTGTATATGAAGCATAAAATTGTAGGGGGATTGATGGAAGCTTGTAGCAGGATGCAGGGGCGAGGTTAGGCATGCTATAAAAGTGAGGTTCCTTCCCCTCTCCAGTAGAGGAAAAGCCTCTCAGAAGAGTGTTTCCTATTCCAGTGGGCAGGTGTGTGGAGCCACAGAGACTTTTATCTGGTGGGTGAATATAGGTGTGTTTCACTGGGGAGGGGCAAGCAGGTTTCACATGGCCTCTGCAGCAGAATCCTCTCAAAAATAAAAGAATTAGTCTTGTTTCACAAAGCAGTTTTTTTCAAAGCAAAAGTCAAAAGCTAATTGGAGCAAGATCCCCACCGCAGTGAACTGACACAGTTTGGGGCATCCAGGCTTCTTCTATAAATAACAAATCTATTTAGAAATTCCCACCTCACCAAAACTGGGTCCTTGCTCCTCAGGAGCAGGACCTGCTGTTATTTACAGGAGCATCTGGACTCAGAACAGCCACCGTCTTTGTTTTATTGGGGTGATGCAGACTCCATTTCCAGTGCTGTCTGTATGTATTGTAGTGGGCACTCAAGATTCTCATGCATTTTGTCTTTAATAGAAGTACACATACTCCGTCTTGTTTCAAAACATTGTTTTAAGCACCTTAGATTACATGCCTGTAAACCCCTTTATGTGCTTTGAAAGCAAATTTCACTGTGTTTCTGGGTTATGCTTTCACTACTAGCTCATTTGTCACGTTTCTGCAGAACAATTTATATGTAAATACGTCTGCTGTCTACAGCACCCAGTGCTCTCCACTGGCCTCTGATTGGCATTAGATTTTGATGGACAGCGATCTATAGAATGCCCTTCTTTTTGAAATAACTCCTTAGAGACTATAAAAAGTTACAATCACTCTTGTACTTTTGTGTGTCTTTTAAAACTTTGTTTTCCTTCATTAAAATGATATATTTTTATTCTAGGAAATTGAAGACTTAAGGAAAGTAGAAGAGCTTTAAAATCCATTCATAATGCTATAATTCAAAGCAATCAATGCTCTTTTCATATTTTTCTTTCATGCAGTGTTTTAAGCATAAAATATCATTGTGATTATTCTGTTTATGCTATCTTACATTATTCAATTTTTACCTAACGTGGTTTTTGCACTTTAGATGTAATATAGATTCTAAATTAAATAATGTCTTCATTTAAAGAAATACTGCCATTCTTTAGAAAATAGATATATCTTTACAAAGTAGAAAGTGCTTTAAAATACTCTTTAGCTCATAGACATTAGATGTTAGTGTATCTAACAAAAAATTGCAAACAGAGATTGTATTTTTAACAGGAGATTCCCTGGGAGGTAGAACTGCAGTGGAATTATACTTTCTAAGTTATAAAATTCAGTACTATTTAATGTTTTGTAGTAAGCATTTTTTATTATTTTGTAATGAAAAATAAGAATTTTGAAATTGCTGGTATTTGGAAGTTGAAACGATAAGACTTTGAAGGTTAAACATCTGCCTTCTTGCCCGGCCAGGCGTGGCTCAGCGGCTGAGCATTGACCTAGGATCCAGGCGATCGGGGTTCGATTCCCGGTCAAGGCACATGCCCGGGTTGCGGGCTGCAGCCGATCAATGACCCTCTCATCATTGATATTTTTCTCTCTCTCTCTCTTTCTCTCTCTCTCTCTCTTTCCTCCTCTCCCCCTCTCTCCTTTCCTCTCTGAAATCAATAAAGGTATATTTAAACATCTGCCTCCTAGTGTGGCATTCCTTCCCTTCCTCTTATAATTTTTAAAATAGCGATAATGGAAGTTAGATAACAGCTCGGGCGTATTGAACAGTTTTTGCTCTGCTATTTCACTTGTGCCTGAGACCACACCTGTGCATACGGGATGTGTCCGGTGTTGTATTCAAGGGAAAACGTTGGTTTGATTTGAGCGCCGTAAATGAAACCGAACCACGAGTTGAAACCTTGTACACCGAGGAAAGCCTGATTCTTTTCTGAAGCTCGCAGCCTCCAAGACCACAGCATTGGCCTTGGCCATTCTCCTTTTTCACACGAACTCCTGGTCGTGGGCGCGAAATTATGGAGGACTCTGTGCGCAGGTAGCACCAGAACTGGAGGGAAAAGCCTTGGGGGTGCCCAGGGACTGTCCTGACTAGACTCTCACTCAGAGGGGAAATGAGTCCTGGGCCGAGGCAAGGGGAGCGCTCAAGGTTTGCCTTCCAGGCAGGGCATCCAGCTGCTTCGAAAGGTAGCACCGCGACGTGGGGACGTTCATCTGATAGGTCTCTCTGCAACCCTTACTTCTACAGGGTGAAGAATTAATTCACTTAGATGGAAAATGCTGTCCTGAATGCGTTTCGAGGAGTGGCTATTGTGTTTATGAAGAAAATGCAGAATTTGTGAGTATTAGGCTAATAGCTGAAAGCTATTAAGAATTAATAATTCAAAATTTATTTAATGAGGGGGCATGACCTTCTCATTTCTTTCACCTGTTTATTTGTTTAACAAATGTGATGTGGACCTACTATGTGACAGGTACTGGGGATACGGACGTGGACACAGCAGGGAGAGTCCACGCTCTCACAGAGTTAATGTTTTAATGTGGGGACACAGAGGGCCAAGTACTGTCTAGAGAATAAAGTGGCTTAATGGGGCTAGAGAGTACCCAGGTGGAGGCAGGTGCTCTTTTACATAAGGTGATTGGGGAGTCCTCTCAGGCAGAGAAATCTGAGCAAAATTTCTCCGCAAGCATAAAAAGCCTGAAGCAGAAGTGTGCTTGGTGTGTTTAAGAAACAGCAAGAACATGAGTCCGGCTAACACCAGGTGACTGAGGGGAAGGGAGGTGGAGATGAGGTTCAGTAGTAGCCTGGATGCCATGATAAAGGTGTGTTTCACCCCGGTGTAGATGGCAGCTGCTGGTGGGTAGTAAGCGGAGCAGTGCTGTGATCTGGCTTCTTGTGAGAGGATCACCTGGGCTGCTACTTGGGCAAGTGACAGAGGGGGTGAGGCTGGAAGTAAGTGTTCCAGTTAGAAGAGTTTTGCTCTAGTCCAGAGAAAGGGTGATGGTGGCTTGTTCCAGGAAGGAAGTGGTGAAACGTGATCAGGCTCTGGATTTATTTTGCAGAAAGAATTTTGATGGATTAGATGTGTTTTGAAACTCTGTTTGCTAAGGTTTTATTTCTCCCTGTACCTGTACCTTTTTATTGTATACCCAAAGGAAAAACACACACATACTTATCTTAATCTCTTCAAATTCACTCTATTCATGTAGCCCATATTTTCCACATGAGGTTGTGGAATATTAATAAATTCACTGTGTTCTTAAAATATGCCACTTGATCATAAATAGAACTGTTTCGTTGACCAAGATTATAAGAATTACAATTCAACACTTTGATTTGTGAACTGATTCCTGCACACTTTTCCTTTGTGATTCGGGTGGATTGCATCTGTCAGCCTGCCGGTGTCCTGCATCTGCTGAGGAGCAGGATTGTGTAGGGTTAATGCACAGGCACTAGGTTGAAATCCCTGCTTTGCCACACACTGTGACCTTGGGCAAGTTACTTATCCTTAACTGTAAAATGGTACTTACCTCATGGCTCTATTGAGATGATATGTACAGAGCACTTAGAACCATACCTGACACACAGAAACAACTTTAAAATGATATTATTGTTGTTATGTTGTTGGCGTTGTTTGTTTAATAGTGGTGTTTCATAGTCAGTCATTCTCTTTTCTTAAGAATTTGCGAGATTAAAGGTTCCCTATAAATGTTGAATCTGTATTTTCTCAATCAGAGTATTAATTTTCCTGCTCATTTTGGGAGATAAATTAAGCCCAGTGGAACTGAAGTAAAGCAAATTTTTTAAAATAAGTACAAATTCCCATAATGCTTTACCTAGTGCCACACAAGATTCAAGAATGTAACCTTGCAAGCTTAGATCTTCTGCCTGTGAAGTCCTTCCTGTCGAGGGGAGTGGAAGTCAAGTGCTCAAACACAAAGCGAGAATGAGAATTTAAAAATATTTCCTGGGCAGTTGTCTTCACCTCATATTGGTATGCTTTTCTTATTTTCGAGAAAGATAGGTTTTATTCCTATTTATAACTGGCGAATGATGCAGCATGTCACTTGGGGGAAAATGGATAGTTCCTAATGAAAAAACAGATCAGCCTAATGGCGTTTTTAGTGGTATAATAAATACATTTCTTTTTGTTCCTAGATGTCCTCAAATGTGAGTGAAGTTAAACGTATTCCAGTAAGTATAGATTTTAACTTTATATAGATATTTATAAAATTATTCTAGGCTGTTCTGGGGAAACCTCACTGCTTTAGTGTTTTTAACAGTCATGTTTGATGGCCGTGGCCTAGGACTAAAAATCTTAATGATAACTAAGACTTTGATTCATTGAACGTTTCCTCCTTTCTTTAGCTTATTTTTTTTTTTCCATAATTGGTCATTAATACTACAAGGGCCTGCGCAGATCCTTTTTTGTTCTTGTGATGATTTTCTCCTGATTTTTTCTGGCCTAAAAAATCTCAGTTAAGTCTAAAGTACAATTTTATGTACCGCAAAACGTTAAAGAGAGAGCTTTTCGGGTCTTGAGAGTGTCCACGCTCCAGGCAGTGCCAGGTGTTCCTGCCCTCTGTGTTGTTTGCAGGACAGTGCTGTGTAGTTTCTTTCTAAGGGAGAATGTAGCGTGTTTGTTTATTCAAGCAGTCCCGCAGCGGTGGTGGCTGCCGAGTCTGGTCTGCCTTGAGATGGAAGAAAGCACTTTTGCTTTCTCAAGGCAGCATTTCTCATTATTGTAATATTATCATTCAGTGTTGCTAAATACTGTCGCATTGTTTGGAATTTTAATATCAGTTGGCTTAATAAATAGTATACCAAATCTTTGTTTTAAAATATGCTTTTCTAGTCTCACCTGTTTTACCTCCTTCATCACCCCAAAACATTCTGGTGGGAACCCTTGTCTCTTTCTTATATCCTGGGTGAGTGGGAAGCGATAAATTAATAATAAATAAATAAGCTCTTTATAATTTACATTGGATTCTCTGTCAAAGTACTAGTGTTTGGTTGGCTGAAGAGAATATTTTAGTGTGAGGCAGCCCATGGCAGGCACATCTACAGCCCACTAAAAGGTCCCTGCCCAAACTTTCACTTTAAGAACGCAGTGACTCCACTGTTACTCTTACGGCAGCAACCATGAGGAAATTCTTGGCTTGAACCAACTTCCCACTGTTATGAAGATTGTATTTAATGTACCTGCTAATCACTAGGTAATGAGTAAGCCCCTGTGGTGTTTTGTCCGTGAGATAGGTTGAGAAACAAGTGTTCTGTGCTGCTTGCTTATCCTGGTAGCCCCAGAAGGCTATCACAATTTATCTCTCTGCTTGGGTTCCACATTAAAATAAACCAATTAAAAACAAAGAAGGAGAAATGCTGCCCTTTTACATTTAGGACACCTCTCCTCCTGACCTGTTTCGGAGCTAGGTTTGACATACTGCTGATCAGGAGCCTGCACTCTGTCCCTCGCAGAGATGACAGATTCTCCATCGGGAACTGCCTCTGAGCCTCTGCCCTCTGCCAACAGCGTCTTTCTTTACTGTTTCTCGTAGGAGGGGGCCAGGTGGGAGGACGGCCCTTGCAAGGTGTGCGAGTGCCGCGCGGCTCAGGTAACTTGCTACGAGCCCTCGTGTCCACCGTGTCCAGTGGGCACGCTAGCCCAGGCGGTGAAGGGACGGTGCTGCCCGGAGTGCACGTCAGGTGGGTCCGTGTCTAATTTATTTTACTGAGATGGTTTTACTATAAAAAAATTCAGAGAGTTCCGATTCCCCAGCCCCTTGCTTCCCCCCCCCGCAACCCACCCACTGGGCCTGTTGGTTTGTTTCTTTCTTTCTTCCAGATTTTTCTAACAAATGGTGTTAATTAATCCTGATCCATGTATTTGCCATATTCAACTGATGATGGGTAGATGACCTCTGGGCAAGTCATTGGCCCTCTCTAAATCTTCATTTTCTTGTTGGTGAATGTGCTTTATCTACCTTACAAAATTACTGTGAAAAAATTAAACAACATAATTTTTGAAAACTTGTAAAGGCAACTATATGTGTTAGGACTGTTTCACTTTTGAAGCTATAAGGACAATTGCTGAAAGTTTGTTATGGATGTCCATTTTTTTTAAGGTGAGCTATTCAACAGATGGCTCCTTTTAGAGTTCTCAAAAGGGTTCTTGAAGTTTAAAGACTCATTAATTTCTTCCAAAAGAAAATTTTATCTACTTGTTCTGCAACTCTGCTTTCAAATCACCTGGGGTTGAATTAGTTCCAGTTAATAATTGTTGGCAAGCACTGGAGTTACTCTGGCTGAGCAATAATTTGCCCATGAGCTTCGTCTCTCAGAGAAGTGACATTTTCTTCCATTCATATTTCATAATTAATTGTTTTCATCTGTGGGTTGCAATTTTTCACATTGGCAGTTGCTCTTGTAGCTCTCAACTTATTTTGGCTAATCACAGTGTTTCTGTGAAGAGTTTATCACAGGAAAAGCAAAGCGACTTTATGGTTTAATTACATTACCTTCACTAAAGTGCCTCTCTGGGCTTTCCAAAACAAACATTTAGCACATTGTAATACACCACACCTTGCAAATCAGGTCCTTGACAACTTCAAAACCTGAAAGTAGTTCTTTGCTGACAATTACTGTTAAATTCAGTGCTAATCCCAATTATTGGCAATGAGATTTGAAATTTTGGAGAAAAAGGAGAAAACTGGCTGAATTTTTATAAAAGAAAATAACGATTTTTTTAAATTGTTTTATGCCTTAACTTTTTATGCACATCAGAGCTTAAGAATATCTGAAAAGTCATAAATGATCGAATCTGTTTAAGTCATATATTGTAGAGCTAGTCATTCCTGTCTAAAGAGGCATTCCTGCAGGTAGAAGCATTAATAGAGCTGGTCTGGTAATGTTTTTGGCATCTTCAATTTGAAGCTACAGGAGACAGTGATATCATTTCAGATAAGGAGAGATTCTTGGCACTCTCACATTAAAATCACTTTTTTTCTATTTGGGAGGCTTTTTCATACATAAATTACAGAGTTTTCTGTTCTTCATATTCTACACAGTTCCATATACCCTGAGATTCTTTTTCAGAAGGATTTAAAAGAAATAAATCAGGTGGTCTTTACTGAGTTTTCTTCTTTGTCTTTGATTGTAGTTTATTGCCACCAAGACTGCTTGACCTGCTCTCAATCTCCAGACCACTGTGACCTCTGCCAGGACCCCACGAAGTTGCTGCGGAGTGGACGGTGTGTGCACAGCTGTGGCCCAGGATTTTACCAAGCCGGTGCTCTCTGTTTAGGTATGGCTCTAGGCGGAGTCCAGAGGTGGACAGGGGCTGACTGTTGTCAGGAGGGGGTCATGGATGCAGGAAACGCACAACTTCCAAAAACTACTAGTAGGTAGTAAAGCCATCCATAGGTTACTTGGCCTCTTTACCTGCAGGTCTCTTTCTTCTAATATTTTGCAGGTCTCTTTCTTCTAATATTCTAATATTTTGACGCTTACTAGGAGATAGGTGATGGGGAGGGTAGATGCTTGCTAGGTAGTCATGGCTGGATTTTTCATTTTTTAAGACTTTCAAGGATAGTAAGATCAGGATGCTTGGTGTCATTTATTAAGACACGCAGTGAATCCAAGATAGAACTTTAGAATTGATACGGACCTTTGAGATCACTTACTAGAACTTTCTCATTTTGCAAATGTGGAACCTGTGGGACAGAGAATCAACTGGCTTTCTCAGCATCACACAAGTAATTAGTAATACAGCTTCTCTCTCGTGGGTTCTTACCAGAGGATCCAAAACGGGTCCATGTGCATTTTAGAATTCTTACCCATGTGAAAAGGAGAACTTACCTGGGAAAACTTCGTGTAGTTGAAGACAAATTATAGTTACTTTTTTTTCTGTCTCTGACTCATAGGGTTAACTATGAATTTAAGAGTGTGTAGGTTCATATACTGGCAGTGAGTATTTAATCTCTTTGTGCCTCAGTGTTCTCATCTGTAAAGTAGGGTAATACTGGTACCTTCCTCAGAGGGTTCTGGTGAAGATAAGTGAGTCAATATGTAAAGTGTTTAGAATAATGTCTGGGATATAGTCACTGCTCAATAAAGTTAACTGCTTTTATTATTTTTGCAATTATTCACTTATTCTTACTTTCTCTCCTGATTCATGATCTTCAGACTGTTTGCAGGTTATTTATATATCTGCTATAGGTTGTGGAGGCCAGGGATAGTTTTGTAAAATGGTTGAGTGAGAAAGATATTGGGGGCTAATGGATAAAAAGAAAGGAACACACCCCTGAACCAAACTGCCTGGCTTCCAATGCCAGCTTCATGTGACCTTGGGCAAGTTCCTTAACCTCTGAGTTTGTTCCTCATCTGTAAAACTGGGATTAATAATATCCACCCCATAGGGTTGTCGTGAAGATGAAATGCATTCATATATGTAGAGCACTTTGTACAGTGCCTGGCATGAAATATGTGCTGTATAAATGAAGGCTAAGTTATTTTCTTGCCTTGTCCTCTGTGACCCCAGAACCTCAGAACTGGGCTCTGCAGGAACTGACTCTGGGGTGATGTCTTTGAGCTAACCAGAACTTCCCTTTTCTTTCTCCCGACCTTGTCCGGAGCCAGCCTGCCAGCCTCAGTGCTCCACGTGTACCAGTGGGCTGGAGTGCGCCTCCTGCCAGCCTCCCCTGCTGATGCGGCATGGGCAGTGTGTGCCCACCTGTGGCGATGGCTTCTACCAAGATCGCCACTCCTGTGCAGGTAATCACCGGCCAGACCAGCTGCTGGTTGGGCCACTAAGAAAGCCACTCCTACTCCCAAGCCATCTGGGGTCACCAGGAGCTGTAAGCAGCTTTTCAAGTAAGAGAAATTATTCTGAACAGACTCCTGATGGGATGAGAACAGTGAATGAGAGAGATGATACACATTGTTTTTATAACCTCATTAGTGATGTACATATGTGATGCAATTTTTATAAGTCCTTCTGCACATATTTGGGGGCACTGGGACAGCATTTAATTGACCCCATACTTTTAGTTCAGAACTGTCATTATGTTGTAAGTTGGATTCCTTTGTAGTATAAACACACATGGCTAAAATGAAAATAAAGGGGAAAGTACATCTATAATTTTTAAAACTTCATTTCCACCTAAAGAGAGAGGGATAATCAGAAATAAGAAAGTGACATCATAATATTGAACTTGGACAAAAAAGTAGGCATTTATTTAAAAAAAAAAAAAAAAAAGAAAAAGAAAAGGGAAAAAGCCCGGCCGGGCATGGCTCAACGGTTGAGCGTCAACCTAGGATCCAGGTGATCAGGGTTCAATTCCTGGTCAGGGCACATGCCCGGGTTGTGGGCTCGATCAATGACTCTCTCATCATTGATGTTTCTGTCTCTCTCTCCCTCTCCTTTCCTCTCTCTGAAATCAATAAAGATATATTTAAAAAAAAAAAAGAAAAGAAAAGTAGGCATTTAAATTTGCTCTAACTTTACTATGTATGTTTTTTTGTTTTTTCCCCTCACCCGAAGATATTTTTCCCATTTCTTTTTCCAAGAGAGTGGAAGGGAGAGAGAGAGAGAGAGAGAGAAATATCGATGTGAGAGAGACACATCCACTGGTTGCCTCCCTCAGGGGCCAGAAATTGAGCCTGCAACTGAGGCACGTGCCCTTGGCCAGAATTGAACCCCGGACCCTTCAGTCCACAGGCTGACACTCTAACCACTGAGCCAAACTAGCTGGGCCACTCCTATGTAGATTATTCACTGTATATTCCTACTTATATTTTAAATTAAGATCTAGGTGAAATTCTAATAATGTAACAGTCTCTGGAGGTAGGTGTAGTCTTAATAAAATTTAATTTGTTGTTTATACTTGATCTTTTTTTGCAATAGTGATTATAATCATGGGTATAAGTAAAAAAGTAAATAGGTGAAGAATTGTTAAGTGGAGAAATGGGAGCAGGAGGTAATGGTGAAAGGAAAGACAGGCCCAATCCTAAGGCGAAGTCCTCCTGAGGGCAGAGACGGCATCCAATGTGCCCGGAGCTGAGGCAGGTGCGCAGTGGTGGGTAAACCCGGGTGGGCAGACCGGCGGAGGGAGCGGGCGGGGTATCCCCCCTGGTGTGGGGGGAGCTGCCCTCTGCAGCTGGGCAGGAAACGGGCAGGTGCTTGATGAGAACGGGAAGGTGGCCAGGCCGACGGTCCACTGCTACGCTCCTCTCTTTCCTGCCCTTGGTTAGATTTTCAGGGAAATCATTTGAAGGGAAATAGTGAAAGAGAAGACATGCATAGTATTCTTCAGATGTGCAGGCTGAATGGGCTCTAAGGTTTGTGAAGGTCCCCTGTTTGGAGGCTGCTGGCCCCCTCCTTCCAGGCTGTGGTCAGAAGCACCGTCCACGGGATTGTGGTCACCATCTTAAACGGAAACAGTGGCACCGTGTGTACGCACTGGCCTTGGCGCCTGGCTCCGGGGTTGCTCGAGGGCCCTAGGAATATCTTCTGTATCCTGTAGCCCCAACATCAAGGGCTGCACAAAGCGTTCAGCGTTTGAACAAGTGTTTGGTGAATGAAGGGACGTTGTACCTCATGGTGATCCTTGAAGGACCAGTGTTTTAAAAGAAGTTTCAGCCATAAAAGGGAAAAGAACCTTTAATGTTTATTGATTATCTTGTTCTCTTTACCTGTTATTTTAGAGCAGGTTCAGAGTGGGCACATGCAAACGGCTCTGTAAGTGTCTAATGTTTGCGCAATTTAGGTAAACTGCTGAAATTTCAATTTGATGAAATTATTGAATGTATTTTTTACTCCTTTCTTTTATCCCATCAAAGAGACCTCCTACTAGCACTCCTGCGACAGATTTGCCTTTAAGAGGGAATTAATTTCCCTTAGATTTTATTCCTCCCTCCATACCTCCTCCACCCCTTGCCACACATCCCCCGTACATATTTACATTTTTATTTCTTTCTTGTTTCTTTTGGGGGAGCATTTTCCTTCCTCTCGTGCCCAGTGTTTTAATTGGCAATGTTAACGCTGTTGTAGGGCACTTTAGAATAGGTAATGTTTCATTTGATTATTGGTTTACGTCGCTGGCTGCTTCCACATTCCATCCACATACTCATACACAAATGCCTGTAGTAGAGAGTCTGGGAAAATTGAATTCCTTCCAGGGAATTAAACCAATTTGCTTTAGTTCAGCCTGGTTGCATTTTTATGCATAAAATGAGAAGAAAAGAGAGCGGGGGGCAGAGAGAGAAGAGAAGAGACTGGTCTTAAAAATTACAGCTAAACAAACTTGTAATCAATTTCTATATACTGTCTCTATGCTGAGACTACTACCCAAATAATCTTTCTTCTTTTTTTTCACTGAATTTATTGGGGTGACACTGATTCTCAAAACCATATAGGATTCTAGTGTACAACTCAATAAAACATCATCTGCACACTGTGGTGTGCACCTGTTGCCCCAAGCAAAGTCTCTTTCCATCCCCATTCCCACCC